TATTATTTTATTGTTACACGTAGCTTATAGATACACGTAACGTATCACTTTCATTTACATCAACATTTAGGGGTACGATCCTTTAACAATTCCCAATAAATGTTATTGAGTGATCGCTGTCAAACTGTCTGTCACAAATTCTATTCGATAAGTATTATTTCATTCATTTTAACAAGAAATATCAGTCTCTTTTCAAAGTGCTTTGCGTTATGTGAAAGATTTTAGAGCTTCACGATAAACGTATCACTCTTTTTTTGAAATCAGAATTATCGTTTTTGTAAAAGCCATAGTTATGCATTTTGTTTGAATTTTGTTCTGAAACGTGAATCTCTAAAATTGATGATTTTTAAATCATCAATCTTTAATCTTTAATGAAGAAAGCTAATTTTTAACGAAGAAAGTTTTTATATTTGTGGTTTGAATAAAAAATGCCCTTATTGTATTAGCAATGAGTGCGTGACTATTTTCTCTTCGATGCTAATATATTTAAAAAATGCATTGTTCGAAGAAATTTTTTTTTAACCAAATTTGCAAAGAGCAGACGATGTGATGTCAACCATTTAATGTATTAATAAATTTCAATATTTTTGCAGAGCTGTTGGAAGTATGTGCTCTCCCTACTTTTTTGTCCTTTTCTTCTTCCAATCAAACACCCAAATCACAGTAAATTAATTAAAGATTTTTAAAAATATGCACTACCCTAATATTTCGAACATTTCAGATTTTCAACATCAGGTGAGACGAATAATTTCATATAATTTCAAGAGGCTCAAACGGAGCGAACGGAGGCGTTGGATTTATCGGTGCCAAAAGTGAGTGAGGAAGGATTGGAACCATACGACTCATTTATTGAAGAAGTGAGTAAAGGTCAGGGAGGGTCATCGAATCGGCCAATCCAACGAGTGAGTGCTAAACGGAAATTGCAGTCTGATGTTCGTCAACAAATAACAACGGACTCGAAAAGGCGTAAAATGAACGATACCGGTAAGAAACTGCATAATTGTCCGATATGCAACAAAAATTTGAAGAGGCATATGAGGACTCATACCGGTGAAAAGCAGTACAAATGTCAAGAATGCAACGAACTTTCACTTATTTAAGTAATTTTAAAGAACATAAAAAGATTCATACAAGTCAAAAGCTGTACAATTGTTCGATATGGGGGAGAAATTTCACTCAGTCATCGAATTTTGGCTCACATGTGAAAACTCATACGGATGAAAAGCGGCGCAGTTGTTTGATCTGCGGGAAAAGCTTCCTTCGATTAGCGGATTTGAGAAGACATATGAATAGATATATTGATAAAAAGTTGCACAGTTCAAGATGGAACGAAAGTTTCTCCGACTTATCGCACTTGAAAAAAGGCACGATGAATGATACCGATGGAAAGCCGTACGGTTGTTCGGAATGCGGGGAACGTTTCGCTCTGCCATATCATTTGAGAGCTCATATGATGGCGGATCATAACCGTGAATAGCCGTAAAATTTCCAATATGCGAGAAAGTTTTCTCAAAGACGAAATTTGAATGCAAACAACAAACTCCTTTCCAGTTGAGTTGCATGCAATCAAAGTGTCGTGAAAACGAAACCTCAAATAAACAGTGTGATAAATTTCTCATCTACATTGTATTGTATCTTAATGCGGATAAAATCATGAATCATTTCCGACATCTCTACATTCCTTAAGTTGCCCCTTTTTTTTACACGTTAATTGTTATCTTATCCAGCTAATTTC